CCCATCCATGGGTCCTAAATCTGGGCTGGGTCAAAATTCAGGACCCGTCATCTGGATTTTGGTGCCGGGGCGCTCCGGGGGCTGGCAGGGGAAGGCCCCACGCCCCTCCCGGCGTGAGTTAATCTGCCTGTTCAGAGAGGATTCCTTGGGATTACAGGGGCGGGCGGGAGCGATGGGACACAGCGATGCTCCCGCGGGGATGGTGCTGGGAGAGCGGGAAAAGTCCCGGCTCTGCCAGCTCTGGAGCGGGGCCAGGGCCACGCCGAGGGGTGTTGAGAGGAGAAGAGGCCGATCTCGTGCTCTGACGTTGGGGACCTGCTGTTCTGGTACTGCTGGTACAACTCTGGGGGGACAACCGTGGTCACACCAAGGGGGATGCTCGGTCCTGCTCCGTGGGTCTTCCTGGGACCCCGAGCTCAGAGCTCAGTGGTGGGCTGTCATCTGCTGCTGCTTCATCAGGATGCTGGGACTGGGAAGGGGTGAGTCCCCCAGTGATCTGGGAATGAGTCCTGGATACCCTCAGGGGTGCTCCCAAGTCTTCCTCACCCTGTGTGGTGACAGACTCAATTCTGTTTGTTATTCAGGGTGAGGATGGGCTGGTTTCCTGATATACTCAATTATAGACGTTATTCAGGGTGGGTATGGGCTGGTCCCACCTTGGACCTTCACACCTTGGATCTTCAGGGTATGGCTGATTTCCACGGACCTCTGACCACACCTCGGACACGTCGCCGGGCACCTCCGACCTCCCCTGCTGCGAGATCAGCTGGAGTCTGGCTTGATTTAATTCCAACAAATCATCTTCCCTTGCTCCCCGTGTGTGGGGATGACACACACGAGGCACGTGCTGTGATCTGAGGGTGTCAGGCTGGAGCTCTGCCCTCCCAGCCATGTGTTTGGGGTTGCCTTGGCAATCCGGGCGCTGCTCCAAGGGCTGGTGGAGCACCAGGACAGCGGCTCCAGCCTCAGTCAGAGCTCTGGGGCTGCCTGAGGACACCAGGGAAGGGTCCACATGCCGGGTTAGGTGGGACCAGGCTGGGGCTGGGGCTGAGGAGCAGCCAGGCTCCTGTGGGGCCGGGTTTAGGACAGTGGCACCTCAGAGGGAGGCAGAGATATCGCTCTAATGAGCTGTCATCGGGCAGCAGCGTCTCCTCCCCCACGCCAGCCTGTGGCGACATGATCTGAGCAAGCAGGGAAAAAATAAAAGGTGCCTCCAGCCTTGACGTGAGTAAGGAGGGGTTGTGTGAGTGCCTTGAGGCAGCAGGGACCTCCAGGCACTGCCAGTGGGGCGGGCGGGCTTGTGTGTGGCGCTGGAAATTGAAAATTAAGTGAGCTGGGGAAAACATAATCTTGGGTGTTTAACTACTGAGAAAGGGCTTGGAAAAGAGCAGTGTGAGTCTAGAGCAGTGTGGGAGGGCAGTCAGCAGCTCTGGGGATGGGTGACTGCTCAGCTGGACCCTGTTTAGCAGGAGTCTGGCTCCAGTGCCTGGGAAGAAGGGTGAAGTGATATTTATCCTCAGATCATATGTGGGCCATAAGTACCCACAGCTCTAGGAGGGGGCTCAGTGTGGTTATCTCCGTTTTCCACTGGGGACACAGCTCTGGATCTTGCCCACAGAGCACTGTGGAAATAAACCCCAGCCTAGTGCTTTATTCACTTTACGTCTCTTCCTCTATTATCCTGTTGTACTGTTATTAAATCTTAATTAAAAGAAGCTTCAAACTTGCCAATCAGTGAAATGAAAGGGTTTGTAAGCCTCCAGTTTTCTTCCACAGCTGTGATGCTGTTCATTAGGATTTCTCTCCTTCATTTCCTATGGATAGCACAAGTAATTGGGGTGACTTCGGTGCTTTTCCAGTTGGTTTCTTGGTGCAGTTCTGTATTTTAGCACAAGCTCTATCAGTAGGACTCAAGCACCTGTGATGAATGGCAGGTTAGATTAAAAATTACCTAATGGTTTCTCCTGGCTTTACTCTCTCTGAACTAAACGTGTCTGAAGTTAATGGGATGGTTTGCCAAATAAAACCCTACGTGACTTGTCTTTTTTTCCTTCCCTTAAGAGTCCCTTTCCGTTTTTATATCAATTAGTTTTGTAAAACTGTTTTATCAAGACTGATTGTAGATGCAAGGCACTGTGCCCATTTCAAGTGTCATATGCACAAAGAGCATTAACCCCTTCTGGGGAAAACTGATGGAGCCTCAGTGTACCAAAACCACCCCATGAATGCGAGGCATCCTTTCAGACTGGGTAGCACATCAGAATTGAGGGGTTGCATCCACGGCAGTGGATGGCTCCAGGTTAAATGTTTTAACATCTATTTCTTCCTTATGTTGCATTATCCCAGTTTGTACCAGCAGCAGTGGCTCCTGGCTGTCCATTCCCAAGCATCCAGTGATAATGGTGTGGGACAGAGGTGCTGGAAGTGTTCAAGGCCAGGTTGGACAGGGCTTGGAGCAACCTGGTCTAGTGGGAGATGTCCCTGCCCATGGTAGGGGGGTGGAACTGGATGGTCTTTAAGGTCCCTTCCCACCCAACCCATTCTGTGATTCTGTGCTTAGGCTTTATTTCAGACTTTCGTCTCCAGCCACTGAAGGCTCACTGGCTTTCTCTGTACTGGTGTTGCATTATGTGGTGACTCTCACATTGTTTATGAATTGTGGAGAACCAGCTTTTTTTTTCTTTCCTCCCTGTGCGTGGTGTGCTCAAAGTGAAATGAGAATTAATTGAGTGACTTAACGGGTGCTCTGAAAAAAACCCCCTGCAAGCTCCGTGACTCAGAGAGTTGCTTTTCCTAAGTCTTCTTGAAAACTTGCCTGCAGTTGATGTTTCTTTGAAGAGCCCGTGGTGATGACTCTTTATCTCTGGATGGCTGAAGCACGTTCAGCCCCCCTGGATGTCAGTGGTGTTCAGCACTTGGTTTTCAAAGAGAATTTGTTAACACAAGTGCAGGCTGAGAGATGAAAGGAGCCGTGTTGAGTCTCATTTGAGACACCAGACAGGAAAAGAAGGATCTCAAGAGATACTTGATTTCCTGGTCAGCTGTGGCAGAGAAGCCTTTCTATGATGGGGAGAGACCTTTCTCTTGGTGCATCTGGAGACTGACTGGGAAAACGGGATGGGCAGCTCCAGCACCACAGTGCTGTCCAGAGCACACAGGACGGGTCAGGTTGGAGGGGACCACAGTGGTACAACCCCCCTGCTCAGGGAGGGGCATCCTAGAGCACATTGCACCCCTTCTTCCATCTGCCCCTTCATCTGGGCTGCAGCCTGTGGGCAGTGGGATGGAGAGAGCCCACTTAATTAGCATTACAGTGATTCTCCCCATAACCTTGGTGCCAGGGAAGTGGCTGAGGGACCCTTTGCCCATTTTTCCCTCTTTTGTCTTTGCAGGAGCAAGGCCCCATCCCTGGAGTGGTTTAGCACCTTCCAGCAGCCCTTCCTACTGCTTTTAATTCTCTAAGTGCTGCTTTTGCAGATTTTTTCCCCCCAGCTGGTTTTTTTCAAGCGTGTACTCTTGATCTTTGAAAGGAATATATTTTTTTTCTACCATTATCAGCACAAAATCAACAACACTGTGTGTACAGCAAAGTGCAGCCAGCCCCGGGGGGGCACAGAGAGGTAGGATTCAGTCCCTGGGGCACCTTTGTTCGGGCAGAGATATTGTCTAGCTCAGCCTGAGCAGAGCTCTCCAGGGATCCTGATGCTGCTGGGATGGATCGATCTCCAGCTGAACTCGGCGTGTCCGTCCCCTTCTCGCTTGGTGCTGTGAGAGCAATAATAATCATTCTTGTGTTACTGCAGTGCCTCCCCTGATCTGATAGTCAGAAAGGAGAGTGGAGTCTGGAGCTGTAGAGCTTGGCTGGTTTTTGGCTTGTGGTCTTTGGAAGGTGTGGGTTCCTGGAAAAGGCAAAGCAGAACAGCTTTAAGCTCACTGCTCGGGGCCTTGGCCCAGCTCTGGGGTGGGCTCAGCTATTGGGAAACACTGAAAATCATTTACCAAACAGAGTAATTAAAATGAACACACTCGGGGCACAGAGAGGGGTTTGGAGCTCCTGGAGCCTCTGTCCCTGTCCTGAGCAGGCACAGCTCCCAGCCCAGAGCTGTTCCACAGCCACCTTCGTGTGCAATCACTGTGGCGAGATTCCTGTGCTGGGCCTCGCTTGCTCCTCCTTTTATGAAAGGCAGTGAATCGCAGTCCTTGGAATGCAGGGAGGAGCTGAGAGGAGTGGGAAAGCCGCCCGTGGCAGGAGCAGAGCTTTATTGCACCCGCTGCAATGTCACGTCGGCCACACCGCCGTGGGCGACGGCGTTCGAGTGATTTGGTGGACGTTTGTAGCCAGAGTCCATCTCTCCAGACATCATGTGGCTCTGGCCTGGCGCTGGGAGCTGTCACTGTCGCTGGTGTGACACATCAGGGATGAGATGCTGCTTCTCATTAGCATCAGGGGGGTAAAGGGCATCCTGCGGAGGATGTGGGGCGGTGGCTGCAGCGCCGTTAACGCGGGCGGGCAGCAGCAGCTCTTGCCTTTCCCCTGCTTTATATCACCCAGCCTGATAAGAGATTGGGACGTTTGGAGGAATTGTTGGAAATGGCTAATGAGGGATTGCCAGGCGTGGGACTGCCACGTCCCTTGTCCGTGCAGCCGCCCGGCAGAGCTGCAGCCTGGTGCCACGGTAGGATTTGTCTGTGTTTGCCAGCACTGTTCACCTTGAGCTGTGCTGCCTGGAGTTGATGGACGAGCACTGAGGGTGTCCTCAAGCTCAGTAAAGTGAAGGCTGAAGCGTTCAGCGTTCAGCCTCTCTTGGGTATCGATATTTCCTCTTTCTTAACGAGCACCACCGTGGTTCTCCCCTGGCGCCTGCTTCTAATCCCGGCTCACACAAAGCCGGCCGTGGTTTGTCAGCCCTGAGGTGTATTTTACAGGGAATGGCTGGACAAGCTGCTCCACGAGGAGAGGAAGCTGATGGCTGTTTTCTTCCTTCCTTTCTCTTCCCTAGAAACTGGCAGCTGAGTGCCAGAGCGCCGGCTACCCGGGGACCCTCATCCCGTACAAGTGTGATCTCTCCAACGAAGAGGAGATCCTGTCCATGTTCTCGGCCATCAAGACCCTCCACCAGGGGGTCGATGTTTGCATCAACAACGCGGGGCTGGCCCGCCCCGAGCCCCTGCTCTCAGGGAAGACGGAGGGCTGGCGGACCATGATAGACGTGAGTAGTGCCCCTGAGGGAGGGGGAGCTGGGCCAGAGTTCTGTTTCTTCTGGTGCTGTTGTCCCATCTACTCATTCTACGTGTGCAGAGCTGAGCATCTGCTTCCCAGCCTGCTCTGACATGGCCTGGGTTTGCTGCTTGAGAAGTGGAAAGACATCCCGCCCTGCTGAGCCACAGGCCTTTACCCTGGAGTGTGGAAATGCTCAGTGCCTTCAGTACCTCTTCCCTTTAGCTCACTGGCTTTCTAGAGGGTGATGAGCCTCACTCTTTTTTTCTTCAATAAAACAGGAAATCGAATGCCAAGTGCTGGCTTTTGTAGCTAATCCTGTTAGTTGTAGCAGTGGGTTGTAAAATGGGCAGATTCTTTTTGGCTTAAAAAGCTATAACGCTTTTTGTCTTTATAGCTTAATTTTCTGCCCATAATCTGGTTAGAGCTGGATGTGAGCAAGGCTGTTTCGTGTGCCAAAGTGGGAGTTGTGCAAATGGTCCATCCCATTTACAAGCAGCACCTCTCCCTGGGTCTTCCTCTCCTGAGGGGCTGCTGGGCATCTTTTTTGGGACTTCACCATTTTTTGTCATCATGGGGCGGCCCTTTTCTGCACAAACCAGTGGCAGCCACAGCTGTGGGACTATGGGGCAGTCTGTGTGTCCTTGCAATGGCCCTTTCTGCAGCTCTGGCCAGTGAGGTGCTGAACCAGGAGCTTTTCACAGAGGTGATTTCCCCTCCTGTGCCACCTACTCCTGTGCACGAAAGCATCATCCTCACAGGTGGAGGAGTGGAACTTAGGGCTCTGAGTGATCCTTGTGGCACCTCCAGCAGCTCTGAGAGCTTGTCCTAGTGAAGGGAAGGACATGTCTGTTGGAAAAGCTGCTCAGAGCTGTGGACTCAGGGCCACTCTTTCTGACACCAGAGCTGGCAGGATCTGTCAGCTCCCGAGGGCTGTTCATCCAGCAGCAGCCTCGGGGGCTGTGCAGAGCAGAACACAGAGGCACTTTGAGGCCTCAGGCTCCTGCTGCCAGGGCAAGAGCTGCCATATCCTGGCTAATTAAGTTCTTGTTAGGATTTTGGCCGGACTGCCGGCCGCTGTGACTGCAGCCAAAGCAAGCTCAGCTCAGCTTTGTCTGCCCAGCCAGGCTTTTGTGGGCTGCCCAGCCCGGGTCACTGCACAGCCGCATCTCCCGGGCCCCGGTTGCCATGGAGTCTTTAAAGAAAATTAAGTGAAGTGTAGCTGAGGCTGAGCTGGAGTTTAGGAGGGCACTGCCTGGCGCTGTCTCGCTGCGAGCCGGGCCCTGGGGGTTGCCTGTGCCTTATAAACTCCTCGTCCAGGTTGCTGTGACCATGTGTGGGTGTCTCTGTGGGTGTCTCTGTGGGTGCTGGGTGTCCCCCCGTGCTCCTTTGTCTTTGTTCTTCTCACCTTTTGTTCTTTGTCAGGTGGGCAGGCTGAGGGGGACATGTGGCTTTTCCCAGCTGAAGGCCCTTCCCCTCCCTGTGCTCCCTTCCCTGGACTGCTGGGGTGGGAGCACTCCCTTTGTCTCACCTTCCACCTCTCTTGGGGAGAAAGATTTTGAAATTGGGATTGTCCTGTGTGAGACACTTCAGTGTTGGTGTTTACAGTGGCTCAAAGTTTGGGAGCCTGGGGGATCCCCCTCCTTGTGGGTGCTGCTTAGGGGTTAAGGATGGGGTGGTGGCCCCACAAGGGCAACCTTAGGAAACGGGGCTGGGAGTGTGTTTTACTCCCAGAGGTGATCTGTACAGCTCCATCCACTCTCATTGCTTGGCAAAAATGCTGTGGTAGCACTGGGGGCAGCCTGAGACACCCGAGATTTCTTCCTTCGCTTGCAGATATTTTCCTCTCACCACCCTCCCAGCAGCTGGTGGGTTTGTTGTGTAATGGAATAACCCCTTTAATGCAAAGGTGAGGCCCTGGGGAGCTCCAAACGCTTCACCCACCTCAGCCTGGGCAGCCTGACAGGCCTGGGCTTTGCTTTTGGTCCTGCTGGTGAGTGGGAGGAAGAGCTCAGGGTAATTCCTTTCGTTGTGTGCCCTTGTTTTGTGGCTGCAACTTCCCTGCTTGGAAATCTCTCTCTCCTGGCTGTGCAGGCACTGGAGTGGCAGCGCTTTGGGGAGGGGTGTGCAGTGACAGTGGGTTTGGGGAGGGATGTGCAGTGACAGTGGGTTTAGGGAAGGATGTGCAGTGACAGTGGGTTTGGGGAGGGATGTGCAGTGGGTTTGGGGAGGGATGTGCAGTGACAGTGGGGTT